CCAGGGGTTTGGGATTTGTTTGCATTTTTATCTCAAGAGCTACTTGGGAGCCCACGTGGGGGCGGGGCAAGAAATGAGCGCGGGAACCCCAAAAGTGCGGCTGGGACCCCAAAAAGTGCAGCTGGGACCCCCAGAGAGCCCTCCCCATGGCGCTGGGCACCCCAAAAGTGGGGCTGGGATTAAAAATAAAAATAAATATCTAAATTAAATTTTAAATTTTTAAATATTTTTTAAATAGATTAAAATATAAAATATATAAATAATATACATAATAATGTACAAATAATAATATATGAATATATAAAACATATAAAATACATTAAAATATATATAATAAATAAGTAAAATAAAATTTTATATAATAAATAATCAGTGCAAGCCTCTTTTGTGCTGTTAGCTCTTGTTTAATTTTATTTATTTCAGAGTCCGGGGGATGCTCGAGCGCTCTCCGTCCGTCTCGCACTGGGGGCACCAAGAGGGACTGGGGTGGGGGTGGCCCTGTGCCTCTAAACCACACAACAATTAACAATTAAACAATTAATTGAACAGTTGGAAAGCCCCGGGTGTGACAGGGATGGAAGCTCTGGCTGTCCCGTGCTCCCAATCCCAGGGGTTTGGGATTTGTTTGCATTTTTATCTCAAGAGCTACTTGGGAGAGCAAATATCAGCTAAATAATTAGCTAAATAATTAGCTAGGCTATTAGCCAAATAATCAGCCAAATTATAAACCAAATCAACAGCCAAATCATCAGCCAAATTATCAATCAGCCAAATTATTAGCCACATTATCAATCAGCCAAATTATTAGCCACATTATCAATCAGCCAAATTATCAATCAGCCAAATGATAAGCCAAATGCCAAAGCTTCCTAGGTGGTGTAAAATTGGAATTTTTCCATACACTGTAAAATTTTGATTTTTTATAAAATTGGAATTTCTTTCCCCATGCATTGTAAAATTGGATTTTTGTAAAATTGGATTTTTTTCCCCCCATCTGTTGTAAAGTTGGGTTTTTGTGACACTCGCTGTGCATTTCCCGAGCTGGGGGATGCTCAGCGGGGTCTCGGGCCCGGGGGGGATCCTGGGGGGCTCTGGGGATGCTCCCCCGACCCTCTCACCCCACAGGACGATCGGGGGTCTCCATCCTCCTCACCCTTGAAGGCTGCCGGGGGTCTCCGTCCTCCTGCTATTTTCGGGGGTGGGGTCTCTGTCCGTCCCCTCTTTTGGGGTCTCCATTTAGGGGCACCGGGTGGTCTCGGTCCTCCCATTACAGAGGGGCCGGTGGTCTCGGTCCTCCTCCGGGATGGAGGGGCCGGTGGTCTCGGTCCTCCTCGGTCATGGGAGGGCCGGTGGTCTCGGTCCTCCCCCGTTAAGGAGGAACCGGTTAGTCCGTTAAGGAGGGGCCGGTCGGTTTTCCCCTGTGGTGGGGGAGCCGGTCGGCCGCAGTCCTCCTCGGTCATGGAAGGGCCGGTGGTCTCGGTCCTCCTCGGTCATGGGAGGGCCGGTTGATCCCGGTTCTCCTCATTAAGGAGGGGCAGGTGGTCTCGGTTCTCCCCCATTAAAGCGGGACCGGTTCGGCTCCACCCCCGTTCAGGAGGGACGGTTGGTCTCGGTCCTCCCCCGTTAAGGGGAGGTCCTGGTTCTCCTCCGTAAAGGGGGACCGGTCGGCCTCGGTCCTCCTCGGTCATGGAAGGGCCGGTGGTCTCGGTCCTCCTCCGTTAAGGAGGGGCCGGTGGTCTCGGTCCTTCTCAGTCATGGAAGGGCCCGGTCGGTCTCCGTTCTCCCCCGTTAAAGAGGGGCCGGTTCGGCTCCACCCCCGTTCAGGAGGGACGGTTGGTCTGGGATCGCCCCCATTACAGAGGGGCCGGTTGGTGCCGGTTCTCCTCCGTTAAGGAGGGGCCGGTCGGTTCTCCCCTGGGGTGGGGGAGCCGGTCGGCCTCGGTCCCCCTCGGTCATGGAAGGGCCGGTGGTCTCGGTCCTCCTCGGTCATGGAAGGGTCGGTGGTCTCGGTCCCCCTCGGTCATGGAAGGACCGGTGGTCCCGATCCGCCCCCGTTACGGAGGGGCCGGTTCGGCTCCCCCCCGTCCTGTGCGGGGGTGAACGGGGGGGTCCGACCATTTCCGTCCAGCCCCCATCACCGGGGGCGGCCGGGTCGGCTTAGTTTGTGTTTAACTTAGCGTGGGCTGGGGGCGGTCTCGGTGCAGCAGTGTCCGGTGGGGGTCGCCGCACCCTTGCTGCTCCCCGGTTACCGGGAACCGGCACCGTCTGAGCCCACTGCGGGGATTTGGGATCAGGTCATCTCCGGCCGCCCTCCCGTTACCGGGAGGGGGCCGGATCGCCTCCCTTCGTGCCTACCGTAATGTGGGCGGGGGGCGGTCACCATGGAGCGGAGTCACCGGTGGGGTCTCCGCGCCCGTGCAGTTATGGGGTGCCGGAACCGGGACCGGCTGCACCCACTGTGGAGATAAGGGGGGGTTAGGTAATCCCCGGCCGCGTCCTGCACTTGGTTCGAGCTTACCTGAGTGCGGGCCGCGGGGGTCACCGCATCCTCCGTTGCCGGTCCTCCAGTGTCCATCGCCGCGATCCTCCGCTGTCCCGCCGCCCGGGCCCGGGGTCTTCGGCCGCTCCGCTCGTCCGCTGTCCCGCCGCCCGGGCCCGGGGTCTTCGGCCGCTCCGCTCGTCCGCTGTCCCGCCGCCCGGGCCCGGGGTCTTCGGCCGCTCCGCTCCTCCGGTGCCCGCTCCGGGCTCTCCTCCCGCTCCGCTCCTCCGCCGCTCCCGAGCCCCAACTCAGCCCAGGCGCCCCCGCCGCCGCTTTATATACCCAGCCTGAGCCACGCCCCCCCAGGATCACAGCCAATGGGAGTCGAGAAAACAGCGTGGGGGCGGAGCAACCAGCGTTCCACATTGTGAACAAACAGAGGGGAGGCGTGACCAAAGCGCAGCCGAGCGATCTGATTGGTCGGGAGGCGGAGCGTTCCAAAAGGGGCGTGGCCCGAGCCGGGGGCTGCAGGTGAGAGGGCGGGTGGGGGCGGGGCCGCGCTACAACCGGGATTTTGGGAGAATTTCCTGCCTGTTAATAAAAGATTGTTATTTTTTCACTTTAATCTCTTCGTTTCTTCCCGATGGAAATTGGGATTACTGGAAATTGGAGCTGGATTATTGGAAACTGCAATTGGATTATCGGAAATTGGCATTGCATTACCGGAAATTGGGATTATTGGAATCCTAAAGGAGGGTAACTCAGGCCATGAAGTCCAATTTTCATTTCAGCTTTCTCTGACACCAGGACGATGCCAGAATGCATGGACTCCATGGAATTCCATGATGTCACAGCATCAGGAATGATGGAACCGAGGCTCCATTGTGACACGGCAGGTGTTCCACACCTGGTGGCACCCAGGGCAGCGCCATGGCAACGGAACCTCATGGCACCGAGTGGTCCCAGTCCATGTGGAGGGGTCTCTGTGGGCCCCAGCCTTATTTCTGGTGGTCCCAGTCCCACGGGGAAGGGTCTCTGAGGGTCCCAGCCCCATTTCTGGTGGTCCCAGGGCCATGTGTGCTTTTATACTGCGTAATACTTTGTAATAGCTTTGATTTTGTATCCCCTTACTCTCCCCAGATGATGTCCCCCTTTTTGTTCCCCCTTCCTCTACCTGTGTACCCATTCTCCTGTGTTGAGATCATCCCCAAATCCCCGCCCTGGCTCTCTGTCAGTCACTCAGCATCCCATCCCCTCTATCTAGAACTTTCTTTCAAAGCTGTCCAGTGGTCAGCCCGAAGCCAGGGGTCAGCCCCCCAAGGATCCCATGGGGAAGGGTCTCTGAGGGTCCCAGCCCCACTTTTGGGAGGTCCAGCCCCACTCTGGGGGGGTTTTGTGATTCGTGTGGGTGGCACGCGGCTCGTGGGGACAGCACAGACCAGGCACAGCATTCAATGTCATTTTTGCCAATTTTATTTTGTCCCTTACCTTTGGCAGGCCGGGGCGGTGGCCGAACCCCTCCGGTTTGGGGGGCCCGGCGTGGTCCCTCGGTGCCCCGGCGTTGCCTGTCCTTACCTTTGCTGAGCCGGGGGCGGTGTCGGACCCCCCCAATTTGGGGGGGCCGCCGTGTCCTCCGTCGCCTTACCTTGGGCAGGCCGGGGCGGTGGCCGAGCCCCCCGATCCGGGAGCCCGGCGTGGTCCCTCGGTGCCCCGGCGTTGTCTGTCCTTACCTTTGCTGAGCCGGGGGCGGTGCCGGTGCCGGTCCCGTTCGCACGGGCCGGTACCGAGAAGGCGGCGGCGAGAAAAGGCGCAAGGGCGGCGAGAAACGGCGCATCGGCGCATCCCCGTCCCTCCCACGACCGCCCCGTGCCGGGGCTCGGGGTTCCGAGGCCCCGGGTGCTGCTAGAGCTCCGGTGTTGAGGGTCCCGAGGGTCCAGCTGCTGCCGGAGCTCCGATGTTGGGCGCTCCCTTCCGTTCTGCTCCGCTCCTCCTCCCCGCTCCGCTCCGCTGCTGGAACCGGACTGACCCGCAGCCCCCCGCCGTCCCTTTATATAGTCAGCGTTACCCCCGCCCCCTCGCCGGCAGCCAATGGGAGCCGAGCGCCAACAATGAGGGGCGGGGCATAGAGCGTTTTGCATTGTTGGGAAATGAGGGGCGGGGCTAGAACGAGACGGAGCGATGTGATTGGCTGGGATGGTTCCGCGGGGCGGGGCCTGTGCGCACCGGGCCCGGTCACCGGGAGCGTTCGCCTCGCCCCGGGGCAGGGCCGGGGCATCTCCGCCCTCCGGCCCCGGGGGATGCTCCGGCCGGTGTCCGGCCTTGCCCCGGCCCGGGCCGGTCGCGGCGCTGAGGGGCAGGGGCGGCCCCGGGGCTCCGGTGCGGAGCGGGCGTGGCTGCCGGTGTCCGCAGCCGTTTCCCCGGGGGTGCCCTGCCGGTGTCCGTCATCGTTGTCCCGGCGGGACGCTCGCCCCGGTGTCCGTCTGCCCCTCCCCGGGGGACTTCCGGGGGATCTCCGCCCTCCTCATTCCCGGGAAGCAGCAGGGGGGGTGCGGGTGCTGTGCCGGTTGTACTCGCCCCGGCAGGATGCTCCGGCCGGTGTCCGTCCGTGCTTCCCCCAGCCCGGCCCGGCGGCCAGGGAACCCGGCTGGCTCTCCGCCTCCACGGCCCGCCGCGACCCGGCACCGGGCTCAGCGGGGCCGGCGCCGCTCCCGCCTCCCTCCCCGCCGCACTGCCCGGGGGTGTCCCCGTCCCGCTCGGGGGACCGGGGCTGGCGCTGGGGTGAGGGCTGATGACGGATTGGGGTTAGGGCAGAATTGGGGTTGAGTTTGGGAGCTGGAGCTGAAGCTGGGGCTGGAGTTGGGGCTCAATTTGGGATCGGGGCTGCGCTCAGCATGTCCGTGTCCCCCCCGACCGCCAGAGACGGGAACGATGCTCCGGTGCTTCTCGGACACGGCTTTGTTAGGAGGGAACGTGGATGGACAGCGGCTCCGGAGCGGGGCGATCCCCTCCTGGCTGGAGAACCCACCGAGGACACCCAGAGCAGCTGGGGAGGGGGCTCAGAGCCAGGAAACCGCGGAGCCGGGCGGTTCCTCCTCAGCGTTCCGTGCCGGGACGCTCCGTGCCCGGCTGCTCCTTGGCGGCGGCGGGCAGGAGCCGGCGCGGGTCAGCCACCTTCACCGTGAGGGAGCCCTGCGGGGGGACACGGGGCACTCAGGGCGCGTTCGGGGGTGACAGCGGGGCGTTCGAGGGGCGGTGCTGACCGGGAAGAAGGAATGGAGCAGCAGGAGCAGCAGGAGCGCCGCCAGCCCCAGGCCGAGCCACAGCAGGTAGCGCCAGCGGATGCCCTGCTGGACGAGGCTCAGCGGGGAGCGCAGCCACAGGAACGAGGACTTGGGGCGCCTGTGGGGACACCGGGCTCAGTCACTGTTGTCACCTGCCCGCCGGCCCCTCGTGGCTCGCCCCGGGCTCACCTGGGCTCGGGCAGTGTCGGGTGCTTGTTGGGCTCCTCTCGGCCCTTCCCCACCGGCCGCTCCTCGGCCTCCTGCGCCGTCAGCAGCTCCAGGCTGAGCTCCAGCTTCCCCTGGAAGGGGCGGTCGGATCTGTCCCTGCTGTCCCCCAGCCCTGTGCGGATGTCCCCAGCCTGTCCCCAGCCTACCGAGAGCCGCTGGCCGCCGTCCTCCTGCATGGTGCAGGGCCACCAGCCCTGTGCCCTCCTCCTGCGGAACAGGTTCAGGGGCGAGCGCTGCAGCGCCGGGGCGCGGCACCAGCGCCGGGAGAGCCGCCGGGAGAGCCGGGCCGCGGAGAGCCAGGCCCGGGAGGAGCGGGGCAGGGAGAGCCAGGCCCGGGAGAGCCAGGCCCGGGAGAAGCGGGGCAGGGAGAGCCAGGCCCGGGACAACCAGGGCCAGCAGAACCAGGGCAGCTCCGACGGCGTGGCCCGGCACAGGCGGGGGCTGCGGGCCGGGCGGGGCAGCCGCGTCAGCTCCAGCTCCAAGATCCCTGCGGGACAGGCCAGGGGACAGCTCTGTCACCGCGGGGAGCTTCTTATCACCAATGGGAGCTCCTAATCACCAATGGGTGCTCCCTGTCCCCACTGGCTGTCCCCTGTCCCCTGCAGTGTCCCCCCGGTGGTGACACGGGCTCTCTCACCCAGCAGATCGTCCGCCTTGAACTTGTCATTGTCCCACACCTGCAGGATGAGTTTGGGCGGCACCTTCAGCAGCGTCGCGTCCAAACTCCACACGTGCTCCTGCCCGGGGACACGGCAAGGTCGCGCGTGTCCCCAGGGCATGTCCCCGGGCCGTGTCCCGGCCTGTCCCCGCCTGTCCCCTCTGTGTCCCGCCCCGGCTGTGGCTGACCTTGCGGCGGATGGCGCAGAGCTTCTCAGCTGCCAGGAACTCGAAGGGGAACACGAAGCGCCAGTTGAAGGCGCCTCTGCCGTTCCGGGAGCGATAGTGGATGTCGGTGTGCTGCCGCTGCTCCGGGAGCCCGTCCAGCCACCTGCGGGGACAGCGCTGTCACCCGTGTGCCACTCCCAGGGGACACTGCTGTCACCTCTGTGCCATCCCAGCCACTTGTGCCACCCCCAGGGGACACCGCTGTCACCTCTGTGCCCACATGGATGGGGACACCCTGGAGTGACAAAGGACCCGCGGGTGGGTGCCAGAGGCTCTGGGGTGAGCAGGGCAGAAGCTGGGGGGTGACAGGGGACACGGTGGGGACACACCCGGACACGTAGATGTCACTCATGCGCTGGCCCAGCAGGTTGACGTCCCTAAGGTCCGCGTCCCACACGTTCCACACCACGCAGCGCAGCTCGTACCTCGGGAGGGGACAGCCAGTGTCACCTTCCGCCCGGGGTGGCGCTGTCCCCACGGGGGTTGTCCCTGTCCCCACGGGGGTTGTCCCTGTCCCTCACTCACCCCTCGGCCTTGCGGGGGTCGATGTTCACGGGGGGCCCGGGGGGGCCGAGGCTGGTGGGGAAAATGTCCACCCACATCTGCACCTTGCCCTGGGGACATCGGCACGGGCTGGCACCGGCCAGAGTGTCCCCAGGTGGCCCCAAGTGTCCCCTCTCTGTCCCCACGGCCCCAGGCTTCTCATCACCCCGAGGTCCCTTTGTCCCACCAGCATCTGTCCTTGTCACCCCCCGGCCCCATCACGCACTCCTGAGCTCCCTGGCACCCACCCCATTGTCCCTGTCACCGCAGAGTGCCCACCACACCCCCAGCCCCTGTGGCTGTCCCCAGGTGTGGCTGTCACCTGCTCCAGGCCGGGCTGGGCACTGCTCTGCAGCCCGCGGGTCTCCAGGTGCTCCGGGACGAGCTGGCACAGGTTCAGCACGTGCAGGGCCAGGCGCTCCCGGGGGGCCCCGGCGTGTCGCACTGGGGGGTGGCCCCGCTCTGTGACACCGACCCGCCTGTCACCTGCCCAACAGCCACCCCACAGACCCCCCCGGATCCCCCTAAACCCCCACCAGACCCTCCCCAGATCCCCCAAATCCTCTCCAGACCCGCCCAGATCCCTCCCCAACACCCCCAAATTACCCCAGACAACCCAGACCCACCCAGATCCTTCCCAGATCCCCCCAAACCTTCTCCAGATCCTCTGAAACCCCCATCCAACCCAATCCAGACCCCCCAAACACCCCAGACCCTCCCCAGATCTCCCCAGATTCCCCCAAATCCCCACCAGACCCGACACGGGGCACTCAGGG